GGGGGGGGGGGGGGGGGCACGTGACCCGTCTGCTGTAGCGCTAATGCTGTATTCGTGTTGAGCCAATCTCGAGCATCGCGCTAATGTCACGTGGCACTCCACAGCCCGTAGACGTCACCGGCTCGGTAAAAGTCAACCACGTGCGTAGGACACTTATCTGTTGTGGCAGACGCCAAATTCATTGACTTTTGGTGTAGCTGGGAGAATGTACCCTTTTTTTCCTCTTTTTTTATATTTTTATTTTTTATGAATAGGGGTCTAGCAGAGTTTCCTTAAATTCTTTAAAAAAAAAAACAACACATTTTCCTCAATATCTTTTTACAATCTCAGTGAACCAACCCAAAAAAGAAAAGAAAAACTCCACTGCAATAATGGTCTTCAAATAGGTGTCTGCAGACTTTGTATTTTGGGGGGAAAAAACCCACATTTTATTCATTAGTGTATCAGCAATGGAAATATTTTTGTTAGCAGCTGATAGATGCTGACCACTGGACCGTTGCTGACCACCGGAAGTAACAATGACTCCAGATAACAAAAACTGAATCTTCCTTTAAAAAAAACAGCAACCCCGCACCCCGACTGACATCATCCATACTCCACATTGACTGACATCATCCACACGCCACATTGACTGACATCATCCACACGCCACATTGACTGACATCATCCACACGCCACATTGACTGACATCATCCACACGCCACATTGACTGACATCATCCACACGCCACATTGACTGACATCATCCACACGCCACATTGACTGACATCATCCAAACGCCACATTGACTGACATCATCCACACTCCACATTGACTGACATCATCCACACGCCACATTGACTGACATCATCCACACGCCACATTGACTGACATCATCCACACTCCACATTGACTGACATCATCCACACTCCACATTGACTGACATCATCCACACTCCACATTGACTGACATCATCCACACGCCACATTGACTGACATCATCCACACTCCACATTGACTGACATCATCCACACTCCACATTGACTGACATCATCCACACGCCACATTGCATGACATTATCCACACTCCACATTGACTGACATCATCCACACGCCACATTGCTCCACGGACCCCATGGGACAACATGTGACGGCTAAATTTAAAAACAGTTACTTTATAAAGTTTGTTACATTTTTTATTAGGGAGCCAATGATCACATGACACCGGGCCCTTTATAAAATGAATTTGGCCAGCCGTATTGGATCTACGTAGGAATCTAAGTGGTTTCTAAAAAAGATAAAGACTCAATGTAAAAAAATGATTGAATAATTATGCGAAGGATAGTTTCATTAAAAAATTGCTAGTTTTTTTTAAATTTTTTAAATTAATTTACAAAAAATATTTTTTTTTAAAACTTTTAAAAAGGCTTTTTAATCAGTTCTTATTTTAAGATAAGCTCAATTGTAAAGCACGATTCTAATCCAGTGATTGTCTGGTTGGACGTTGGACAATCTATGTTTCTAAGTGAAGTAACACATTTAATGACAGAGCCCATATTGATAAAAGAAAAGAAAGAAAAAGGAACAAGAATGGCGCGTTTAAAGAGCCACATTCTTTCAATTCAAGTCGAGCAGATGGCTCCCATAATGTACACATGTTGAAAACAAATGAGTTATAAGAAAAGCTTGATGTGGCCTTAAGCAACTGTTCACAACGCTATGGGTAACTTAATGGCGCAAACATCTGAAATGGCATAAGAAAGAAACAACAACAAAAATCTGAGCATTTTGGGTGGACGGCACTGGTGAACTCACCACCTCTCACAGGTCACTCCTCCAGGGCCCACCTCTCACAGGTCACTCCTACAGGGCCCACCTCTCACAGGTCACTCCTCCAGGGCCCACCTCTCACAGGTCACTCCTCCAGCGCCCACCTCTCACAGGTCACTCCTCCAGGGCCCACCTCTCACAGGT